AGCAGGGAGTGAAAGAAGTGGGCAAATCTTCCCTAGCGTTGTAGAAATACACCTCGGGCTAAACATAAAGAAGGATAAACTCAAGTCGTTCCTATAACTTTGACTAGCCAGATATGAGATATAGCAGATAGTCTAGCCACCGAAAACACACAACAAGAGTCTATAGTGACCATATTACATCCTTAGTACACCCAAACACCCTGTGTCAGGTAATACGCAAAAGTTTTTGGCCACAGAATCAGCACATAGAATGGTTTTCTTCCTCTGTGCTTCATTCTGTTATGCGGTTCCTCACGAGGGATTGGTTGTCTCTCCTCTGCTATAAAAACTGCACACCCACTAGTTTTGTTTAGGTGGAGAAAACAGCCAAATTAGAGCTTTGCTGTTCCCTTTCACACACACATATCAATCAATTAAACGCAAGACTGACAAGGCTAAAATGACACACTGCTTTTTCCCCTTCTTTTTTGAGAATTAACATTTGGTCCTGGCTAACAGTGATGAGAGACTTTGGTTGATGCTGTAAGATTCCAAAACAACCACAGCCTAGAACTGCTTGTAAAAAGTGAAACTAGCAGTAAATGAATATGACTTAAACAGCAGGAAAACTCAAATGAAGCGTTTTCACAGTGACAGTATATATTAGACCCAATTTCAGTCCTTGGAACTGCATTAATTATAAGATACTAACTGAGAATGTAATGCAAAATTGTTTGGTGTTAAAAGCAATGACTTCATGCACATTTGATTTTATTTCGTTTGTGTGTGAGTTCATAACCTCAAGTGCACTAAAACTTAGCACTAGGGCTGTGCGATATTGAAGAAAAATGCGATATGCGATACCTTGTTAAAAAATGCGATATTCAATATGCGATACGATATTGCTTAAAGTGTGTAAAATCAATTTCAATTATATTTAAAAATGAAAATGATATAACCAATTTGTTTCACATTCTTTCTTGGAAAAGAAAGAATCACTACAACTTCTGAAAGTGACCAGCAGTGTTTTAGCATTACATAAAAAGTAATGTCACAAATCAGAAAATATCATTTTAACATCAGTGTGAAAGTTCAATCCTGATTAAAGGCAAGTGAACAATCAGTAAAAAAAAGAAAGAAAAAGAAAAAAAAGAAATACACAATTCACAAGCATAGATAATATAAACAGTAGTATTCCTTTCGTTTGTGTGTGAGTTCATAACCTCAAGTGCACTAAAACTTAGCTCACCCAAAAATGAAAATTCTGTCATTACTCACTAGGGCTGTGCGATATTGAAGAAAAATGCGATATGCGATACCTTGTTAATTGATTTACGTAGCCTACGCCCTTGCGATATGCATATTGCGATATTTACATTTGCGATATCTCGATAATTTCGATATATCGTGCAGCCCTATTACTCACCCTCATGTCGTTCCAAACCCGTAAGACCTTCGTTCATCTTCGGAACACAAATTAAGATATTTTTGATGCATTCCAAAAGTTATCTGACCCTCCCATAGACAGCACTGTAATTAACACGATCAAGGCTCAGAAACGTAGCAAGGAGATCGTTAAAATAATCCATGTGACATCAGGGGTTCAACCGTAATTTTACGAAGCTGTGAGAATACTTTTTGTGCACAAAGAAAACAAAAATAACGACTGTATTCAACAATTCGTCTCCTCTGCATCAGACTGTAGCGCCATTTTGGAGAGTATCACATACGTAAACAACATATGCAATGTATGCGGATATGTTGTTTACGTTCAGATCAAAGCGTAAACAATGTATCCGCATACATACATTGCATATGTTGTTTACGTATGTGATACTCTCCAAAATGGCGCTACAGTCTGATGCAGAGGAGACGAATTGTTGAATACAGTCGTTATTTTTGTTTTCTTTGCGCACCAAAAGTATTCTGGTAGCTTTATAACATAACAGTTGCATCACTGATGTCACATGGATTATTTTACCGATCTCCTTGCTACGTTTCTGAGCCTTGATCGTGTTAGGATCCTTGCTGTCTATGGGAGGGTCAGAGAGCTCTCGGAATGCATCAAAAATATCTTAATTTGTGTTCCAAAGATGAACGATGGTCTTACAGGTTTGGAACGACATGAGGGTCAGTAATTAATGACAGAATTGTCATTTTTGGGTGAACTATCCCTTTAAGTGGGCACAATTCAGTTTACCATTTTTGTACTATATCGCTGCAAATTTTGAAACATCAAGCTTCAGGAATTAGATCTAGATGATTAACCTCTCTTTTAGCTCTAAAGAAAAAGTTCGCCCAATAACAAAAAAACTGTCATCTTTTAATAACTCTAGTGTAATTGCAAACCTGTAGAACTTTCTATTTTTAGATTTTTTTTGAAAGCCCAAACAACACTGACCTCCACTGACTTTCAATCTATGCAAAAAAAACATCTTCTTTTGTTTTAAATAAGAAATAAGAAGTCATGCAGAATTTATGTTTTGGGGTGAACCATACCGTTGATGCACACTCAGACAAACAAACCCACAAACAAGCCACTGCTGAAAGTCATTAATATGATGCCTGTGTCAGTTTGACTGCAGTACAAATGACTGAACAGCAGGACAACCACTTCTGTCTCAGCAGCCATGTGGATCATTCTCTCTCGCTCTCTCTCTCTCTCATACTAAAGAGTGGTCGTCACCACTGCAGGATGGCTGCATCAGCTCTACCCTCTTCCTCTTGACCCAAGAAGGGGGCTTAATCCTCATATACACACATCCCATAACGCATGATCAATCAGGAACTAAGGTCTTCAAGAGATGCTACACTCAACAACATGCAGTTTGCTGTTGCAACATTCACTAACAAACACATACACTTACACAACTCCTTCTCTTGAGAACTGACCGATTTGCTGCAATCTCCCTGCAGTCATCATCTCACACGTATACATTCTCCATATCACTCTCTACATTCATCTCAGCTGTTCAGATATAACTCCTTGTTTAGAAGCCAAGAGGTTGAATAGCTGTGTATGTTTCAAATGAGCAGTTGTACAACATGATAAGGATCTTCCTTTTTATAGACAAATGCGTGTAGCCTATCTGTTACCTCACTTGAGTATAAATGGGTGGAAATTAGCTTACATTGATACTTTTATCTATGAAAGAGGATGATAAATCTGTCTATTCCGGAAAAGGGATTGATTTTAGAGATGGCAGGATTAGATAAGATAGCCCATGTAAACACATCTTTTTCATAATGTTATCATCTCAGCTAGGTTGACTTATGTAATGCTGCTGAACCCTGTAGTATCCAGCGCTAGAAACCGCCACGGGGCGATAACGTTGCCTTTGCTAATTTTCTACTTTCAAGTCCTCGCAAATTTCCCTCCATGAATTATTGACTGACATCTTAAATTGTTCGCCTGCGTGATGCTACACGCGACCATCTGGCAAAGTAACGCACATTTGCATATTTAAAGGGATCCTGCATTTATATATTTTGATGCATCCCAGGCTTTGCTGAATAACTACAGCCCCCCGTTACAAAAAAAAAAACTAAAATGCTGCAGCGGCGCGCCATTCAAGCATCTCGCGCTGTCAAAAGAGTCTGTGAAGCGCGCGCTAGAGGGAACACGCTGTTCAGCGCGGCAAGAACAGAGCAGGCATATGGAAATATGCAATCGTCATAATGTGAAAATAATGTTTTTTTCTTCTTCTGCCAATTAATTAATTAATAAAAATAAAAACAACACTCCCCATTTTTAATTTACAAGCTCCGCCAAATAATTGCAAATACATGGTTTTTATGTCTCAGGATGCAACTTAAGGAAACGACAATGTGGTTAGTTTGTCAAGAAACACGCACAAAGTTATACAGCCTATTACAAGTAAAGCTGAAGGAAATGGATTAAGAGCAGTATCTAGTATTGAAACGTATCCTAAATCCCGCGTTTCAAAAATCCCTAGCTAATAGCGCACTCTTGCCTGGTTCCAAATCTCTAATCGCTTATCATTAGTTATTCATGAAAATTACCCCTCTCAGAGTGTGCTGGAGCGAATGTCAGCTGACAGGTCCCCTCGGATCACCGAGTACCCATTCAGCAAACGAATTAATCCGCACTTTTTGAGGGAAGCTAAATTTGACACAACATAAAAACTAGTAGATTAAATCTGTTCTAGTTTCTATGGAAACATGTCAGACCGCGGCTGCGCTCTGCCTTTATTCCAGAATAACTTGATTCCTGATACCAAGGGCATCTTGTGTGGAGCGCTACTGAGGTTCCTATTTATAAAACCACGGATATAAAATTTGTCCCTCGAGAATTTTGCTCTAAATTACATTGTACTGTAATGTCCTCGAGTATATCGCTACTGCTTTAACTGAGGTCTGTGTATTTTTATGTAGGTATGTGTAAACGTATTACATTTGGACACAATGTCCATTACATTTACATTGATCAGATGGGTTGATAAATGCGTGATTTTGAGTCTCGTTGAATATTTACACACAATAGCCTACTAATGAACTTAATAGGTACGTAATTATTGTGTGGAGCTGCTTGTATGGGCACATTGCCATTAATAATTGTTTACAGGAGCCTAATGTGTAACGTGGATACTGATTTGAAAAGGGCTTATAATAGACATAAAATTATACATGGAACCACTTGTCATGAGGATTTGGGTTTTCACTCATTTGGCAGGCAGAGGGTCAGATTAGATTGACCTAAAATCACTCACAATTGTAGCCAATCAATATCATGTTAGCACAACGGGGTTACCTCTCTCAATCCGGATGGTTTGATTAAATCACACAGAATAAGACCGTCTTTAACCCGCGCAGCGAGATACACAAACGATCACTTGACTTATGTTAATGTTTAAACTGTGATTTTTCTGGTCAGTGTTTTGACCTGAAACCTCTCTGTAAGTGAAACATTAAACAATACAAATGATGACTAGCGCGGTTTTCGCTCTCCTGAGGCAGGTAGTAAAGCGAACGTCCATACGCCAAGAAAATACTGGTCTTACCTGCTACGGTGTATCTGTCCATGTAATTGAGCACATTTCCAAAACTCAGAATCCCGGCGGCAACGAGCGGAGACCGGCATCGGAGTAATGCGGCACGGAATTTCTGCCCAGGTTTGCAGGGATGCAGGTCTGGACTGGATTTAAGAGCCGGACTCATGCTTCCAGACAGCGTGTGCACCTCATCCGAACTGCTGCACCCCTCGATTTCACATCCATCGCTTTCCACACACATCTTCTGGCACGACAGATCCAGCGCAAACGATTGAACGATTTCTGAACGAACGGAGACGGGACGGTTGGGACGGAAAAGTGTTGCACCTTTGAGCGATAAAGAAAAATCAAGTGTTAATCGCGAAGAATACAAATCATTGATTTGGTTATTGCTCGCTGAGCTCGGTTCATGTCTGTACAGTGACAGGATTGAGCTTTTCTCTCACTCTGTAGTGTGTTGTTCGAGGGAGGCGTGGTTGCGCGTTAAGCCCCGCCCCTCACTCTGAGAAGGAAGGCGCTTGTGTGAAAGAAGGGAATGCCACCGAAAGTTAGTAGTGACAGAGCGCACCCAGTTGCTTTGTCTCTGTTGTTTTCTTAAATGACGTGGAATGTCCTCTGTTCAATAAGGTGTATATGAAAAAGAAAAAAACTCGAGAGCCGTGGGGAAATATTACGCTTGGAAGCGGTTAATGGTCATTTCTTTAGACAATCGACGGGGGATTTTGGGGGGTCTGACCCTCTCTACTAAGCTGTAAGCCCCCCAAAGGATGGCAGAACAAATTTAAAAAGGGCATTAAATAGGTTTAATTTTATAATTGTTCACAAATACATTTCAGTAAGCAGAAACTCTCACATTTTCACCTGTCGCCAAATAGAGAAATGTTGTTTGCCTGAGGAGGGTATAGCAGCAGAACGCCGCTAGAGGACATTTCGATCAGTATTAAGGATCAGTATTAAAATATAGCCTATAGGCTACATAGGCAAAATAATTACCGTAATTTTTTATCACTTTATTGTAGATTTACATTAAACACGTTTAGCACGTGAGGTGTATAGGCTAATTCATTGTATAATTTGTGATTATTGTAGGCTATACATAAAATAATTATAGTAGCTGTACGCATCGATGTCTTAGATAGCCTATGTGTATGATGAGAATCACCCCAAAAAGATGAGAATAGTGATGCCGACGTTAATGATATGAAACTAGCTATTCATATGACATCACTGAAGACTGAAAAAGCACTGGATCGTAGCCTACACGTGAAATTGCTTCTTTAAAATGCTTGCAATACAAAACATACAGAAATACCCTTTAGTTGATGCGTGTATTGAAGTTACCTCTGTCAAATCCCACAGTGCTTGATTACACTGTGATTCAAAGTATTTAGGATAGAATATTTTAGTGTGAAAGAGAGTTGCGTGGTTTAACGCTGTACGTGAATATAAGACGAAGTAGGCTCCTCATCTGAAAGCGATACGTGGTCTTCAGCACTCTGGACAGCTCATTATCTCTATCTGCAGCCGCACAGAATTACAGAATTAACAGCGTTTTACCTGTGACTTATAAAAGCTCGATGCGTTTACTGATTAATATTTTGCTAATTATTTACTGGGAAACATGAATCGGACATTACGGTTTGTGGTTGGATAGTAGGCCTATTTGATTAAGGTAAACATACGGTTACTGTTAATCGTTTTATTTAGCCTATTTCCTTCATATGTGTTGGATTAAATCATTAAGGATACGATTGATCTCTTTTTTGGCTCATCTTATTGTCCGCTTTTCACCGAAACCCATCAATTAGCGAAGATTAGATCAAATCACATCATTAAGTACGTCTTAGTTTTCCCCTCCTTTGGTTAAAGCGATAATCATTTGTATGAAAATTCTTAATACATTGTGAAACTCTGGAGGACAGACAGCAAACGTGTCAGACTATCGTTAAAATAAACAGTTTTCACAAGACTCTGGATGTCCTTTGGGAAATGTCAAAAGTGAGGGGGATTTTACTGTAGCTAGCCTAAGATTGATCTCGAGTGCAGAAAAGTATTTTAGGAAGTGCGCGGGTTATCCTCACGAGAGAAAGCTGAAAGATGCTAGACAAATTATTGTCTGAAAAGAGGGAAGTTATCTGTTTGTTAATTTTCCCTTCATCTCAATTCCTAGCTACTTGTCAGAACAAATTAACGGGTTAATGGTAGCTTATGATGCTTGTTCTGCCCTGCCACTTGATTGCTTTTCAACATGAAAAATTAGGTAAGCAAAATATTTTTTGAAAACGTTTTAAAAAGACTTGCTAATTGATTCATTCATCCCTATAAAATAGGAAGCGCTTTAAAAAAATATGTCAAAAATATTTATGGCTTTTCTGAGCTGAATTCATCTACATAATTATTCTAAGTATATCCACCCTCACTAAGGCACTAAGAGCTCATATGTACACTTTAGTTAGGTACCAATATGTACTTTTAAAGTACTAATATGTATCTTTAAGGTACTAAAATGTACAATTTAGAAGTAAGTATTGTACAGATATTTACCTTAAAAGTGGCCATGACTGTATTAAGAAAACTGGCATAATTGTATCAACTGCCTATTAGACTGCTTAAAAATGAAATGTTCTATTCAAATTTACGTGGTTTTAAACAGATTAAACCGATCAAATCTTAACACAAAACATAAATTACAAAATGTGACAACAAAATCAAAAGCAACAGAAAAAAAATAATTCTACCGAAAGGTTGATTGTTGCGAGCATAATTATTAATGTCCACAGACACAATAGTTTTTTTTTTTTTAATATTTCTATGCTTGTGTTAATTTCTTAGTGCACACTCTTAAAAATAAAGGTTCTTTATTATCATCAATGGTTCTATGAAGAACCTTGAACATTCATGGAACCTTTCAAATGCAGAAAAGTTTCTTTATAGTCAAAAAAGGTTCTTTAGATTTTTTAAATGTTCTTCAAAATGGTTCTTTTAGGAACTGTTCACTGAAAGGTTCTTTGGGGAACCAAATATGGTTCTTCTATGGTGTCACTGCAAAAACACCCTTTTGGAACCTTTATTTTTAAGAGTGCAGTGTAACGCAGAGTCAGTATCTAATCAGTACACTGCCTACAGTTTAAATGACCTTGTGGTCTTCAGTAACCTTCCTGAGTGATCTGCATGCCAGCAAATCTCACATCCTATTTACTGGTCACAGGCTGTGCAATAAGGAACCAAGCATCTTTATCTGTCTCCTGCTGTATATCAGCTGCTCCCTAGCAAAGGTTGGATCACAAACAACTAAAACAAACCAATACCTAAAGATTGTCATCCACAAATCCTGAATTCCTTTTGGTTGGCTTGGTTCTGCTCTGCATAGGCTATCGGTATCAGTATGTGTGCTTAAACTGATAAATTACAGAAACCCACAATCAGAGGAAAATAATAGGGATTTGTGTAGGAATGTGCATTTGTACCCTGTTTTTGTGGTTCATATCATTTACTATCACTAAAGGAAGCCTCCGTAACTCCTGTCCCTCAAATAATGACGTGATAAGCACTATGAGATGGAAGGGGAAAGGGGCTAGTCCTGTTTGACTTCCACATTATCATTTATCTTCCTTCACATTCCTCACTGTTAAGCAACTGAACTTCTGACTTATGGATTAAAGTACAGAGAAAAGTGTGTGCACGCTTGAAGACACTTTAAAAACAGACATTTATTTCATAATGCACTAAATATTTCACCGAATCAGTGTTTTTAAATAAAGATGAAAGAAGCAAGCTGTTGTAGACCGATTTAATCAAAACAGAGACAAACAAAGTCTTGTTAGGCAGACTTTTGAAAGTAATGAACCCACTTTTTTTCTCTAGGTTTTGCATATTATAGTATGCTTGAGGATGGAGTGAGTATCAGTCTCATCAGACTGAGGAGATCACACTTCAGCTGTTTAGTTTGAATTTCCATAACACAGGAACAAACAGAACAAGCTTGATAGCAGCTGCTGCATGCAATGGTATGATCAACTGCAGAGGGAGAAAGATAAAAAGAGAGAAGAAAAACTGATTGTGGAGTCGAATAGAATATTAAGCAAGAGCACTTAAGAGTGATACATTACATAACAGTGTGTTGGCAAGCCGTCAGAAAGTAAAAATAAATAAATGAATAAATGAAAATAGAGAGAATGTGGAGGCATGGTGACATGGAGAAAGAGGAGGACACTGAAAGAGTGGGACTAAGAGAGACAGATGGGGAAGTGTTATGACCTGCTGGTCTATGTTGTAGGAAAGCTGTTAGAAACCAAGCAAGAAGGACTGATTGAGAAGATGTGGAGAGAGAGCGGTGAGGTCAAAACAATAGTTTTCATTAATGTAAAAGAATGCACTCCGGTCACTGTGTAAATGTAACCCCCCTAAACAAACATTACTGAATAAAGATTCCTTGTGTAGCTGTAGAAACAAAGCTTTTTGACTATATTTGAATGTTGAAATTTGGTTATGAAAAGCACCGTAATGGGCAAAACAACCCTGTAATGCATTCATCTCAAAGCAAAATCTTTATGTTTACACTTCAAAAAAGAATATAACTATTTCTAATCTTTTTTCCCCCTTTTTCTTTTTTTTCAGAGGATTACACATCTGTGCACTGTAGAGGACATGCATTTAGGGTTGTGATGTAAGGCAATGGCCATTTAAATAGTGGGTAAGCAAATTTTATTATTATTATTTTAAAAACATTAAATTGCTCTTATCATTCAGAATTTATAAAACAACAGCCAACTTCCTGTCACCACACTGAATGAAATTATATTGCTCAAATAAACACATATGGTCACCATTATATTTCAGTCAATTAAATGCAAACTACAACAAATATGAGGACAATTCTTAATAATACTGGGTGTCCTAGAACAAAAATAAAGGCAATGCTTCACCACTTCTGTCGTAAAAAAATTACAGTGACAGATACGAAATTATGGTTTTCAAAATGGCTTTTAAAGAACTATTCATGGCATTCTGAAAACTGAAAATTTATATTGATCTGTTCCTCATGGAATTACAGCCAGGGCATAATTTGTATTGGTCACAGACTCGGTTTACGTTAACGAAGGTTAATAGGAGTCCCAGAATATTCCAGTTGGTCAAAGTGAATCAAATGATTGTTTTATGCTTGTATCAGTATGTTAAATGTGATATGCTCCTCACAGCAATCATCAAAAAATTGCAAAATGGCACAAAGCCAGATTGTGGTTTTGATGGTGTATATCTACATCTGCCAGAACCACAGAATGCTATGTGTCATTGTACAGGAAGTGTATACAATCAAACCTCCCCGGTGCTTTCACCGTCTGCATAAAGGGCTGTTAGATTTCACAGTCACACTTTATTTTCCTGCAATTAACAAACCATTAACTATGACTTTTGCCTCAAT